CAGATAATGGATGTCCATTCTATTAACATTTCTCTATCCGGAGAATGGGGCTGTTTGTCTTCTCAATTCAGAGGGCCCCCTGCTCGTCTTTGCCTAGGGCCCCACATTTCCTAAATCCGCCCCTGCCTGCTGCTAAATGGCTCCAGCTGCAGCGTTTCCTGCAACACGCTTTAGTCTCAGCTCTCTTTGCAGGCCACACCTACAACTGTGAGAATAAGGAGCAGACTGATCCATTGCACTGGAAAAAATCTAAATCTAGATTAGTCAATTTATCTTAAAATAAGTGTTCGTTCTTGGATTGAGGAGGTAAAAGACATTATGCCAATAAACCGGACAGTTTACATTTAAAATAACAAAACACAATTGCATTGTCTTATTTCAAGTACATATTATCTAATTATCTTATTTTAAGAGTAAAAATACTCATTCTATTGGAAAACTATCTCATTAACCTGCTCAAATGAAGGGTAAATACACCTACTTTAAGACATTTTTGCTTATTTCTAGATCGTGTTTCCTGTGTGCAGGTATCAGTCTCATAGAACTAAACTACACAGAAACAAGAGTCAAAGTTTTCAGCAACTCCTTTTAAAGGAACAATAACAGAAAATGCTGAAACTTAAGTAATTTTTTTCCTAAAATAAGTGTATTTAGCCTATAATTTGAGTAGGTAAATGAGATAGTTTGCCGATGGAATGCGTATTTTTACTCTTAAAATAAGATTAGATAATATGCACTTAAAATAAGACGGAGCAATTGTGTTTTCTTATTTTAAATGTAAATAATCTTGTTCCATTGGCAAAGTGTCTCACACACCTCTTTAATCCAAGAACAAATGCATTTATTTTAAGAAAAGATTTGCTTATTAAGATTTTATTTTTTTGAAATGAGACAATTTATATATATATAAAAAAAAAAAAATCTAACAATTGTGTTGTCTTCTTTCAAGTGCATTTTATCTAATTATCTTATTGTATGAGGAAACATACTCACTCCATTGGCAAAATATCTTATTTACCTGCTGAAATTAAGGACAAATACACAAAATTTAAGAATTTTCTTTTACTTATTTCAAGATCATTTTTGCAGTGTGAGCAGGTGAACTGCAAAAACAATCTAGAAATAAGTAAAAAATTCTTATGGATTGAGAAATTTTACATACAGAATAAAGTAATTGGATAAAATGCACCTGAAACAAAATGATGCAAATGTTTTTTTTTCTTATTTCAAATGTAAATTGTCTTGTTTCATTGGCAAAGTATCTCCTCAATTCACGACAGAATGCAGTAAGATTAGGAAAAAATTTGATTTGAGTTTAGGAGAAGGGGGTCCTACCTGGGTATGTTATCATCGACGGTGGCGCAGCCGTAAAGGAAGACGATGACGCCAACGATGGCAGCTGGAATCAGCATCTGGGTGTAGACTCCTAACCAGGCGAAATAAAGGCCCACCTTTTCTCCAAAGTATTTCCTGTGGAGAGAAACATCTCTGTTCAAAAGCTGCTGTTTATCTGTCCCTATAGACATTACAGACGTAGACGCCTCAT